GTGGGCGTGCAGGCCATCCGGTCAGCTGATTAGAACTGACCAATTGTCTACTAGCAGTTTTAATATAGTGGAAAATGAAGCCAGCGACAGGCAAGCTGGCAAACTGCAGAGCAGCAATGGGTGAGAATGGCTGCGATTTTAGAGAAGATGATGCCGTCTAATATGCTTGGATCATTGCAGAGATTGATGTAATTACAATAGCCATGTTTTCGTTGGGCATTTGTTTAATTTTATTTGAGTTTCGAACAACCCCCATTGTGTGAAAAGTGCCTCTCTGAATCAGTGTGAAGTGCTCACCGTTCCATCCTGAGAGGATTATGTGTGAGGGTTTATGGGGAGTTCGCTCTGGCGGTCGTACTTCTTGCGGAATGGCACCAAGTGGCACAAGCAAAGCCGATTGGCTCAAGTCACTCCAGAAAAGTGGGTTGCTGCCAGAAGGTAGTGGAACGGGCCGCCCCGCTGTCTCAGTGTCACCCACGATTCCCTTTATCTAACGTCATATTTGGCCCCGTTTTCCTTCCTACCCCCAGTGTCCAGCTTCCATTGATGAAGTTAAAGAAGCTGACCAGAAGGGGCGGATATACTAGAGGGTGGGGCTCTGTGTGTGTGGGGGGGGGGAGGCGTGTCTGGCTTGGGCTAGTGCCAGAACCTTCCTAACCTCAGCTGCCACCTGATCCATAGTGCTAGTTAAGCTGCCGCTGATGTCTTTACTTATCAATTGACTTTTTATTTGGCCGGCCCCTCCCCCACCACTGGCCAACAATGCTGCTGTCACACAGGGACAGTGGGCGGGGCAACATACCCAGTCACCCAGACTAATTCCATGCAGAACAAGGTGGGTGGGGCAGCTTGGAAGGGGCAGCTTCTGCGAAATCACCGTGATTGGCAGTTCACGGAAGACTAGGCGGACACAATGCCAAAATTAGACGCCGCAGCGCTGACACGTTTAGCGTTTAATTCCCTTGTAATGACGACACGGGGCTGCGTATCAGGGGACCAGCTGGCGAAACACCACAGATGCAGGACTGGAGGAGGGCATCTGCTTTTTTGTCTTGTGCCCATGCCGTTGCAGACCCACGATTCATGAGCAAGCCCACCGAACAGTGCCCTATATGCTGAGTTTGTCTGATGTGTAGCATTTAGCATTGCTAACAATATACTGCATTTCTTAACAATATTAATTCTACGGGCATGTGTTAGCGGCTGCCGATGATACCTTCTCACGTTCAAGGAGTTTTGGAGGTTTGCAGTCGGTCAGTGTCATCCAGGGTGTCCGTGAGCCATGTACATTACGCTGCCCAGCGTAGCCCCCCCCCCCCCCTGCATAAATGTTCAGGATAAGCTGTCGGAAGATGAATGGATGGAAGCTGGTTGTTGACCCGTCACAAAAAGTCAGATACCTGGTCGTTTATCATCAGACATCATTGAACTGACCTAAAACAGGTACCTGACTCGGAATTCAGCTTAACAAAATTGAATCCCATAGCATTTCAACACAGAGTTGGAATAGATAACAAATTCAGTCCTATTAACTATATTCCCTGGGAATACAAATACAATTAAACACACTGTTGCCGTAAGTAATGTCGCAAAGGTGATAGAGGGTCGGAATCATTCCAATGACAAATTGTGTTTTTTTTCTTTCGATTTATGGCTGATTTCTGTGCACATCAATCATCCAAAGTGTTTGAATGATCAGTTACAAGTCAGCCACCGGACGGGGGCGCTCCTGTGAGGGAATCTCCGGTTTTAGCTCCAGCAGAGCGGCGCCGATGATCTGGAGAGATCTCTGCTTACGGTCCATGTGGCTCATCAGCATTTCCATTTGGTACTACAACATCTTTAATCATTATTATTATGTCATATCACATGTAATACTGCTGCACCGTGACCAGGTTAAGCAGATGAATGATGGATGGATGGATGGATGTAATAGACTGATAACGTGAATAAGAGTTCCGCAGTTGGTCACGGTGAGATTCACCATGTCGTCCCTTTTTCCAGCATGAGAATCACAATGGGGGGGGGGGCGCTGCATCTCCATCTGGAGGTCACCTGTGTGACGGTCGCACTCTACAGCACGTGGTGGAGATGCGGATCTGGGCTTACAGGAGGAGGAGCGTGTCCAAGCTGTTGGAGTTTGCTGTGGGAGGAATGTGCTCCGTGAGATTTTAATTTGAGGCCCTTGCACGGCGTCCTCGCCGCACGCAGCGTGTCCCCGGCCCGGGCTCATCGCGAAGGACTGGCCCACGGGACTCAAACTTGAGCCTTTCAGCCGGCAGGCTTTTCAGCCCTGGAACTTGTTATTAAATCCCATTGAGATTCCTCCTTGCTCCTAGCTCCCTTTCTGAAGGCCTCTGTTTATTCCATTTGACTGCTCAGGGTCATGTTTTGTGTACCCAGGCTAAGGAGAGAGCTGACTTTTTTCTTCCGTTGTTCCGATGGGCGGCAGCGTACGACATTATGTTGGAAATATGATAACCTTAATTTACCTTGAGTAGCTCTGCGTGTGTTCTTTCCCCCTTCTTGCCTTGCGTGCGCTTACCTCCCTTTGTTGGGCCAAACTGTCGTGTCAGCTACGGTTTTAAAAATGACAAATGAAAGGCCGCATTCCTCAAAAAGGGGAAATAAGAAAGCATTAACCCGACATTGTCTTCGAAGGCCGGCTCTTTGAGTCACACACGTTCCCCTGTGGCTTCGAGTGGCCAGGGCAAATCGGGAGCGCGCCATTAAATCACGTTAAATCGTCGTCGGACTCCCGATCGACGGTACGCTGCCCCGGTGCAACTAAGCAGATCTTCGGTTCTCGTTAACGGGACTTTAACTCGCGGCTGATTATTTGTTTGTGAGGTAATAAGCGGGTGAATTCCCACCCGCTTCTATTTTTTTTTTGCTCCCAAATCTCTAGACAATTACTAAAGGCAGTTGGTTTTAGAGCTTTTTGTTACTGGCCACCTTGAAGCACGGTGGAAAAGAACTCTAATCCAATAAACGTCTCATTTAGATCATGAAAAGAAAGTAAGAGGAAGGGACCCACCGGACAGCCTATTTTTCAGAGCCGAGCCCCAACCAACGCCCCCCCCCACCTCCACCCCACCCCTCATCCAGCCCTACCAAGCTGTTGGAAATCGGCAAATTAACAAGGCAGTCCTTCATTTTGCCATACATGTCCATCATGGCTCTTGGCATACCACAGAACCAGGCACAACTGGGGGGGGGGGGGGGTCATGGTGCAGGTGAAGCTCACCCAGCCCAGGAGAGGCACAGTGGGGAGTGGGGGGGGGAGCAGGAGCACGAAAGGCAGGACTGGCAATCAAAAGATGCTTCTTTAAGGAGACTGGACAAGGCAGGGGTAGGTGGTGAGAACGCCTATACACTGAGCAGGCCTGGCCAAAGCCGGTCACACTTAAAGGGGACAGATAATTAGCTATAATTAGTGCGTGCACATTGTTGCCTCTGTGTCCACAACCTGAATAAATTTAGCAGAGGAGGTCCTGGTATTGAAAACACTTTGATGTAAGAAGAGTCGTGTAAGATTGGCAGCATAAAGGCAGTGTTTTAAGCTTCCTCTACCCCCAGCCTTTCTTTCCCCTCAACAGTGGCTGTAAGACACAACCCAGTGAATGGACGACAACCTCTAGACCCCCCTCCCCAATCCAGCCACCCCCCCGGCCCCAGCCCCTACTCCTTTGCAGCTTTCCACCCCAGGTTCTTTGAGACTGGTCAATTCTCTCCCAAACAAAAAAATCATCAAATGTTTTCTGCAGTCAGTAATGAGGCAGTGGACCTCATCAGAGCAAAATAGTTAGCTATCCTTCGCTTTTGTCGGCGCTCAATGACAGCCGCTCTTTGAAAGCTCAAAAGCAACTTTGGCAGGAAAAAAGCCACTTGTTCTCTATGCTAAATCACGGACAGCCCCGGCTAGGCTGTTGAATGACAAGAAGCGGAGATATCTGCCTTTGTACAATTTGTTCTCATGAGTGCATTGTCGGAAATAAAATAAAGTAAAATCAAACTTTTGGAAGGCATGATTCAGGATATTATATAAATTGGCAGTTCGGTGAGTTGTCTTGAAATATGTTGCCAAAATGCACTGGATCTGGCAATCGCAACCTGATGGACGGTTTGTCAAATGCCAAGCTGACTCAGCTCATATTTATTACATGCACGGTGGGCGTGTTTATTGACAACAACTTGCTGAGAGCTCTGTCTCTTTACTCCGATACTTCAGTGCCATGTGACTCAGGGATACAACAGCAAATTCTGACTTGAGACTGGAGCCTATGTCCTTCTGCTGACAGTTCCGCTTCCCAGGAAACTAAACACTTGCTGCAGTTGAGCTGGCAGCTGACCTCTGCTGAGGTGAGGCACGTGGCACCAGCATTGGCTGAGCTCCCAAATCTCTGAGGTCACTGGCGAGGTAGTTAAGGGCTTCTCCCGCCTAACTATTTTCCCACAGAGCCAAATTCCATCAGGAACACAAAGGCAAGTCCACTGTGCCTAAAAAAATTAGGTAGGGGGAATCCGCCAGTTGATCGTTGATCTAAACCAGTTCACAATTATACCCTCTCACAGCTGCATGTCCTCTCCATGGTGTCCACTGACGTATGCTGGGCTTTTTTCCAGACAAGCTTACCATGACAGTTACTGGATGAACGTTAATGCCAGATGGCTGGATGATGTTGGATTCCGTTGGAGATGACCAACTCTGGAGACAGCTGAGTTCCGCGGTAATTCACTTTTCAACACAGAGAAAAGTTAAGAGGGTCCCAACCTTTCAGATATACTGCCATAGGCAGACATTTCAGGTCCAGAAAGTAAAAATCCAAACCAGGATTTTGTTTCAACCAAGCAGTTGAGTGACTGTGACTCTTTATACTCAACTGGTTGGTTGAAACAAAATCCTGGTTTGGATTTTTACTTTCTGGACCTGAAATGCCCACCTCATTATACTGCTTGACTTTATCACTGAGGGCTGTATCACTCTCTTAAGGGCTCGATATTCTATTTTACTTCCTCCCCAGCTGGATTCTTATATTGCTTTTAGAATCTACATCTCAGTTCCACCTTTAACTAGGTTTAGCACAAGTACCGTGAAAAGTCCACCCCTCCTTACATTAAAAAAAAATATATTTATATATAAAAATATATTACAAATGTTACCCTGGTTTTCATTTTATTCAAGTTGTTCATGGATCTCAAATAACTATAAATTCATTTTGAAAGTAGTTTTGAATTCAATTTTTGAAGAGGAAAGTTGATTTGTTGAAAAATCCAGACCTTTGTCTATTTAGCAGGGCTCAGTCAGGGCTGGACAGGGATTAGAAATCGGCCACTGACTTTTACAAAATTACATTATTTGCTGATTGGGGGGGTCGGGGTGGGGTGTCCTCCACCATGAATGCTGGCCCACAGCCCCATCGCCCCACCAGGAAAATGCCCAGTTTGCCAAATGGCTGGTCCAGCCCTGGGCTCAATTCATGCAAGGTTCCCCGGCGTCTGGTAGCACGTGGGAAACTGATAAATAGGACTGAAGTCCAAAGTTTTAACGAACCCATCAAGAACATAATCAGGTAATGGATCCACGGAGGCCCCGGAGAATCCGTCTGATTATAAATATCCAATGGAATTATGACTGATTAGGTATCTTTTCTCTCTCCCCTCCACCCGGGAGGAACCCTTCAGACATCAGGCTATACATGAAAGAAGAGAATGGCACACCACTCGATGGCGCTCCGCGGCTGTGGGGCTATTTATGTCCCCGGACATTGCAAGGGTCGGCGGGGTTGATGAAATGACGTATCCCTTTGTGTTGCAATTGAGAACATGTCAGGTTGTCATTAAGCCCAATTCAACCAATTGCCTCGGAAAAACGAACTCCGTTCGGTTAAGCTTGGATCAAGATAAAAGTTGACAGCACAGAAGAATAGAATATTTCGGTCCTCTAGCTTTGTAGTGATTGCTAATTATTCCCGGTTTAAGGAGGACGGTAGCAGAAATGCACTGATTTCATAATTTGCCGGAGCCGTCACTGAATACTGATTCGCCTTGCTGCATTAGCTGGGTCATTCTCTGCTTCTTATTCCGGCGTGAGGGATGAGCCTCGCTTGGCTTGTGGCGCCTCACACCTGCTGCTCCTGCAGGCCGACGCTGGGAGCCGCCTGGACGTCTAAGAAGCTTGGCTGGGACAGTAAATGTCACCAAACGATGATCATCTTCTCCTTACCGAAGATGTTTATTTCCTGGGAGAGTTAATGAAGAATGCATGGCCATTATTATATTATTATTATTATTATTAACCACAACAACAAGAATATTAATATTGTTATTATTATTGTTGTCCTTGTTGCCTAGCAAGCACTTTGTTTCAGAGCATTTCAATTCTACAACAAAGTATAAACACAATCTAGTTGGAGCAGGTGGGATGGTGTCTGGATCTTGTTTGTCATTTACTGTTTTAATACATTTTTATGGTTGAAATTGTTGCATGAAGGGTACACCCTGCTCCGGGGTCCAGAGGCTTTTTACGGAGGTAAACAGTCTGGCCTGTGGGAGAATCGAGGTGCCAGTTTGAGCTGACGCCCCGAAACATCTGGCCTGCTGGGCTACGGACTGTTTGCCCTTGAGGAACAGAACACATCTGGGGGAGGCTAAAATGGCAAAGATCTGCTTCCTTTCAGTAAAAAGCTTCTACCACTGTGTAGCAGCCAATTATGTATTAATTACCACTAATGTAATAACACGCCAATAACGTAATACATTTATCTGTTCTTAATGTAGTAAAAGTTAATAATGTAATTAATACCTGGTCGATAATGTAGTAACTTATTACTCTATTGGCTAAATTTATTATATTATCGAATCAGAAAATGTATGAGATTATTGGCCAGTTATTATATTATCGACTTTTATTACATTAAGAAAGGAAAAATTATTATGTCACTGGCAGAGATTACATTATTGGAAGTTATTACAATATTGGTAGATATTGCTACACACCGTCCAAAATGTACTTTTTTTCCAAATACGCATAGATATATTTGTTAATTATATCGTTAATCGGTGCTCAAACCAGAATTATCTATGGCATATTCATATAATATTACATATTACATTCTGAATATTTTGTATGTTGCATCTTTTTCTCACATCAGAGATTTCTTCAACACTTTCATAAGATTCTTTTCAAATGCAGTTGCTTATATTTTTGAATATATTACAAATTGAAAAGACAGTCCCACGTCAGTTCACGTTCTCACAATAACGGCTAAAGATAGGTATTTAAGTGTCTACCCTTATGTGTTTTCTCGGTAGATAAGATGCTTACATTTTCACTTGCATTAAATGACATCCTTGTATTTCATTTTATTTCCCCGCATAAGCCGATTGCGGCGACTGCCGCGCTCTCGTCACTGTTCCGCGGACACTGTGAACATTCCGGAATCCATGCCCTGAAAGGGTCCTCGTCCTCAGACCCTCAGGAGATAACACCCGTTTATTGTGCTCTGTTGGCGGGGCCGTCCGCACACTGCTCTGTGTGGGGCTGAGGGTGGGGGGGGGGTGGCGTCGGCCCCCTCAATAGGCGGCTCTTAAGCCTTGTAGCCGCTCCCTGGCTGTGTTAAGCCAGGATATGTGAACCTTTCCCCAGTAGGGGTCCCTAGCCCTCATGTGCTGGGGGGTCACTGGCTTGGCGGAGAGGGACACAGCTTTGAACATGCAGGCTTCTCATGACTCCCAGTCACACTAGACACCTACACCCCCCCCCCGCCAACAAAAAAAAAAAAGCCTCAAGGCTTTTATTCCTTCAATGGCTACTTTCCTGGGAGGGACAGTCCCTCCTTCCCATCTCCTTATTAGCATAAAGCATAGGGGGGCAGTTTTTTCACTTTGTTGAAAGCTAATATTTTGCTTTTCCTTTCAGTTCAAAGCATTTTGGGTCTTTCTGACATCAGTAGCTCATCACGGCACTTTGCCAGTCTATCCGAGGAGGGCTCCTAGCCCAGAATGACTGGTAGTGGTTGGGGGGGGGGGTTATATCAAAGTAGTACATCCTGTTGGGCCTGGTCCTGTCCTGTCATGGCTCCTGCATCCCTCTTGGTGTGCTCTGAGTGTCCCCCCACCTTGGGCAAATGCTGGGCCGTATGGGCCTGATCAACAGGTCGGCCCACAGAGTGGAGATGTGTGTGTGTGTGTGTGTGTGTGGGGGTCCCGCTCTGTCAGCGCCGCCCCGGCCTCGTGCTCCGCCGGCATGGACCCTGTGTGCGGGAGCTGAGCTCTGTCCTCGCTCGCCATTGTGTTCACACAGCGTTGATGGGTTTGCTTCACTTCTGCGACCTCATTACTGGCTTTGGCTTTCAAGTGCTGCCGTCTTTCAGCGTATGCAAATGACGGCGGAATCGCTCACCTGAGAGTTGATATTGCCCGCTTTAATGTGCATTGAAAATCTAATGTTTGTATTTAGAGTATAACATCCTGTTCTTTTGAGACGCGCGCAGAGCTAAGCGGGACCCGGCGTGCGTTTGATGTTGCCTTCGAGTGTTATTAATTTCATATTCTATTATCCCTATACCCCTACCCCTCCCGCCCCCCCACCCCAACCCGAGGTGGAAGCCGCCATGTACGAGCTGTTTGATGAGCTGGCGCAGAAACAAAACGATGGTAAATAAGTTAATTTCTCTTGAAAGGGAATGCATTCGCCGGATAAATAAGGCCCGGCCGCCGCCGCCGGTTAATAAGTGCCATTGCTTAGCCCGCCGGGACGGACTTCGCTGAAGTGGCCACCATTGTATCAGTATTTTGTCTGATTTCTGTGTGTGTCCCCTATTATCCATCAGGCTATGGTTTCCGCACCTCAAAGAAGGACCCCCCCCCCCAAAAGCAACCAACATATACAATCCACCTCCCCACTACAAAACAGAAACTACCTTTTTCCCCCATATTGTTGTAATTACCCAGACAAGAAACCGTCTTTGTTCATGTTCCCATAGTTACTCGACCGAGGATTCCTGAAAAATGTGGCGGGTCAAATCCGAGTCGGACCCGCGGCCGTCGGCGAGGCCAGCCAGCAGCCTGCGTCCGCATCACTCAAATTCGCATGCGAAACACACAACTCGCATGCAGCGGCATCCCATGCGCTGCTAAAAATGAGCTCATGCATCAGTTTATCTGCCAAGATGCCAAGTTCTTGTATGTATTTGTCAATGCTGATGTGTCATAATATCATCGCAGTGTCACCATACAGCCAGATGGTTTGAAGTAAGGTATGCATGTTCATTTCCTCCTCAGGCAGATAGAACCAGCAAGCCTGTGCCATTCTGAGTCCTGGGAGCATCTTCGGCGATTTCTTCGGGTGACATGAAGAGAACCTTGTTTCTGTGGCTTTGGTTCAAAACTTACTAGCGTCTTTGAAGTTCAGCCTGAAGAAACTCTTACTGGTTTATATTGTTTTACTCTGAATTTGCACATTTTAATGCTAAATTGTGTTTTTCGTTCTGAGCTATAGTACACTTACTACCCAGATAAATAAGACTTTTGCACAGTGCTGTATCTTGTATCATCTGCCTGCGAAACCATCATCTTTGTATTCGATAGATGGTTTATTTATAATGTGTATATGAAATATTCATTAGGTATGAATATAATGATTCAGTTATATCAAATTCAAACATCGCAGAATCTTACTGAAAGCATTTCGGCTTGACATTCCTTTCATAAGCGTAAAGGGGTTTGGCAGGTATATCAGTAAACTGCACATGCTGGGATTTTGTTTTTCTGATCACATGACACAAGTTCTGACACCACCAGACCAGCAGCTGTGTAGCCAGGGACCTCCTCATACTTTTCAGGATCTTCATATAACCTGCTAGTGAGGAATCATAGTGCCCTGTGTTCCGTCTGTAGGATGTCTGAGACAGTCCCCTGACTGACATTACACTGAGGCATGGTGTTTCAACTGCACTGCTGCTGGCCAATGAAAATCCAGCTGGTCATGCAGCATGACCTTTGGCCAATAGGAAGTCACCTGTCTGACGAACTGGCACTGATCCCAACCAGGGCTTTGTCGCATCAAACCCAATGCAGAGCTTCAGCTTACGCATTTTCTATTATTTTGTCCAGGGTGTCCCAATCTGGTCCTCAGGGACGCATAGTCGGTCCACGTTTTTGCTCCCTCCAAGTTCCCTGTCAGACAGTGCACGTTTTTGCTCCCTCCAAGTTCCCTGTCAGACAGTGCACGTTTTTGCTCCCTCCANTCCCTGTCAGACAGTGCACGTTTTTGCTCCCTCCAAGTTCCCTGTCAGACAGTGCACGTTTTTGCTCCCTCCAAGTTCCCTGTCAGACAGTGCACTTTTTTGCTCCCTCCAGGTGTTGATGTCACCCTGACTGTAAAATGTGCAATATTCAGGTGTGCATGACCAGCAGGGCGGTAGCAGTGAGTCACAAGGGCACCAAGTGGGGTGAAGCCTAAGACTACGAATGCCTGTTGCTTCCCAAGGTATTGCCCACACCAGGCACCAGGGCTGATCTGATGCTAGAGCACAGCAGCTTCTAATCTATTTAGTGTGTTTTCAAGATCACATATATTAAGCAAACTAAACCAGGCTTATCAGAGCTTTATGTGTCTGTGCTCTTCTAGTTAAAGAGCTTTTCTTTGGGTGCCTTCACCACGCTCACGTACGATAATCTTTGCCGACTCTGGCACAGTATCAGAGATAAAACAATGAATGAACTTATGAAACTGACTGAAATCAGATAACAGTGCTTTGATATTCTGTGGCTCCTGGGTTTACCGTACAAAATGCTGCCTGCTTGAGGCGGACGTGATGATGTGATATGAACTCCCCAGCCTAAAAGCAAAAGCACGTCATGATAGGAAGAGAGGGTTCTAGGGACACCGGGGGCCCTCGTCAAAAAGCTGCATTAGGGCCCCAACACATCGAACCCGACATGGTAAAATTTATGACCGTTAATTTAGCGTGAAGTCTAAATTAATAATATCAACAGAGAATTGAATCAAGACAATTCCTTCACTTTCACTTTACAGCGAAAAACAGAATCCACAAAGCAAATTTGTCGTTGCAGTGTACTATGTAATCGGCCGTCCTTGGGCCCCCCCCCTCAGCTCGGGGGCCCCAGGCCACTGCCTGCACTTCCTGTCCTGTCTCTACACCTCTGTTGATAAGAAGGACCTTACAGTAAACTCACTTCTCTCTGATGAGTCTTTTCCCGCCTTTTATTGTCCAGTAGATCAAGTTAAGGTGTCGCCTCTTCAGGCTTCAGCCGCTAATCATCCGTCCTCCCATCTTACAGACCTCTGGCTCTGCACGGGGTTGCCGGGGGAGACGGCTGGAGCATCTCCCAGGTAACAGAGAATAGAAGGTAAGGGTACTTGATCTCAGCTGTGCAGCACTGACTTAATTTCAAATACCACGCTGACCGTGGGAACTTAAATCCTGACGAAAATCACGATACATTTTAAAATTCAATTAGTGAGTTATTCAATAAATTTGATTCGTACATTTAAAGAGATGCTGCCGGTGAATAAACTGCTGATTAAAATAAGCAATGTGTATTTATAAATAATGCATACTGGTAAAGCTAATTTAGACAAAGACGTGTAAAAATGATAATGCAGAGGTAATCCGCCGTGCCTGTCACAGCAGTGACAAGCAATTTATACCACTGGAGGATAATATTGGTGATTAAAGTTTTATTAGAGAGTAAGGTCGCTTATTCGGGGACTTTGCTGGTCCAAACTTCTTACCCTGTGAATGTGCAGGATCTCAAAGGACACTCTGTATATAGGAGCAGACAACCAGCATGCCCAGCTAACCAGGGCTGAGTCACCTGCACAATTTATGATGCTCCCAACATTTGATTTGACATCCTTACTGTAATAATTTCATTATTCATTATTAAAGATCTAACTAAAAGCATTGCGGAAGCACACAGACTCTCATAAGATTAGCACACAAGCTTTAAACTGTAACCTGAGGTGATGCTTAATGCTGAACTCTTGACATCTTGCCATGCCCTACAGGACACCTGAGCAGGATGGTCATATGGGAAGGCCTCTGACGCCCCCTTGTGGCAGACGGCGTTACTGTTCGGCAGCTTTCACGGCACCGTTTGTTTCTAAAGAATCTAAAGAAGATCGCAGGACTGATGCGGGAGCAGCACTGACTCAGCCGAAATCTTAGCATCAGAGACAACGATTGTAACTAGCAGAATATGTGCCTTTAAGCCAATTAAAGGACAGCAGGATTACCAGTAGTAATGCCGCATTTTATGGACAATAAGTAAGACCTCTTTGTTTGTTTGCTGATTCAACTAAACTGAAAGCTATGGGGGAGACACAGTGGCTCGCGGGCTAGCACTGTCACGTGACACAGTGGTGGCTTCGAATCCTACTCCTATGCTTTGTGTGTGCTGTTTGTATATGCTGCCCTTGTTATGTAGGTTTCACCTGGTTTCCAAACTGGATTCTCTAAATTGCTTATATTGTGTGATTGTGAGCATGTGCCCTATAATGGTCTGGCATCCCAGCCTTCCCTTGCAACTCCTGTTGAGACTGTGCCTGTTCTGGATAAGCAGTGGATGGATGGATGGGTGGATAAACTTCCATTAAGGCCCTGGATCAAAAGCCCTTCTACTGGTGCTCAGGTCTGTGCTACAGTAGTAGTGAAATGCGAACAGTGCACAATAGTGTACTGTGACAGTAAATGTTTACTGAGGTCAGCTCTACATGAATGCTTCTATTTAGAAACGTTTGCCCTAATGATTGTCAAAAAAGGGACGTTTCTAAAAAAGGCAATGAATCTCTGACCACTAGGTGGCAGCAGATACCAACTTACAGAGTGTCTCGCGACTTGTCTATTTGATCTTGTAAAGATGAGGTAATTCAAGTGCACCGTCTATAGTGGCTACTCTTCAGGCTGAGGCCATGATGATGAAGGTCTGCATTTAGGGAATGTTACATGACGTATTGACTGACTTGGGCAGGCCACTCTGTTTTCAGCTTGGGTTGTTTGTTAAACACCAGTGCCGTGCGCCTCTCTGCAATGCATGCATTAATCCCTCTGGAATCAATGTCATTCTTTGTGCAAATCAGGTCATAAGACACTTACTGTATTTTATGACGTGTGTTACTTGTTTTTTAATAATACCTAGGCTATTGTACTGTCATGTGTCATTACAGGTCTATTTCTGACTTTTCACTGCAGTAGAACTTAATTTAAAGTATTAACCAACCAATGACGTGGGAAGATGTTTAGAAGACAATTTGACATTATTTAACGCAATACATTGCAGGTAAATTGTGTATTATAGCACATAAGCACTTTTCCAAAGTCGCAAATTCCCGCTCAATAGCTGAGCCATGTCTGTTTCTGGACCCAGAGGCAGCCGTTTGATTGCTGTCCTACTGATGTTTTGTGCACAGAAACAGGGGCAAACCAAACCTCTCCAGTTCCAGACACCTTGGTCTCAAGTCCATGTCAGTACAGACCCGCTGAAGCCGTGTTTCCCAGCCTAGTCCTTGGGATCCACAGGGTGCTTCCTCCCAGCTCCCAGTAAAGAAAAAACATGGACTGTCTGCGGGTCCCTGAGGACCGAATTTGGAAACGCTGCTCTGAAGACGGACCCCTGGCAGATGAGGTGGACCCCCCCCCCCAACATGGACCTTCATGTCTCATTTCTGGTTTTCACTTTGGTAGGTTAAGGGGGGTGGGCGGGGGGGGGAGCGTGAAGGTATATCACCAGGGTTTCGTGCAGAACCAGCGGGCCGATAACTGTTAACTGGCCGATAGTCGCGTGTTCATGCTCAGTATGGGCTTAGCTCGCGCTTGCAGCTGGATCTCCAGTTGCATAGGAAGATTATGTTACTGTAGAACTGTTATTGGAAACGTTATTACTTTTTAATGGTCTAGAAGAAGCCGCTTTGTGACGTGATGTAAAATGTTACAAATCTGAAAATCCACAATTAAGAACACTGATTGAAAAATGCTTCAAAGTGAAAGTTGTTACTATGACAAATGTTAATGTGCTTGGGAGTTTATGTAACATAACTCAAGCCTTCTTACGCGAATTGCCTTAATGACTTGGGGAAATGGTACTGGAGAATTCTCAAGGGGTAAGATCAGATACCTTAGCACTATGGATTACTGCAGTCTTGCAAAGGGGCTCAAAAGTTCCCCTTATTCAAGTTGGGGTCCGGCTCCTTCAGCCCATATGTTTTGGGCTTGAGAAACACCACCATGGTCACCCCAGTTTGCCCCGTCGAGTGGGTGGGCCATATAATGATATGTGCAGAAATCTCTAATTAGGCACTCCAGGAAGGAACCAATGACTGATCTGTCTAGAACAGTGTTTCCCAATCCGGTCCTCGCGGACCTACAGAGCTCCTGCTTCTGGTTCCTTACTGTTGTACTCCTAAGAATTTTATATTACCTGAATTAATTACTAAAAACATTTTATTTTTGTATTTTGCCAAACTATTCAAAGTTTACAGTTAGAAACAAAAGTAACTACACTATGCAATGATATAATATACTGTATATACATTAAGTACAATGCAATTTATAATGATATATAAATTAAATGAATCCTTTAACAATAACAGTATCTGAGAACTCATTCCGGTAAATTAGTGTACTTAAAAGTCGACCGCATTCGATCAGTCACCGACTTTCTTTCTGGATACAGTCACTTCAGTCATTCGGAGATTAACTAATGATTAACGCTGAGCATATAAAGGTAAGGGATTCCTTTACTGACGGCTGGTTACGTCAGGTGCCTCTCGCAACCGCATGAAACAAAGGCGTTACCATGCAGTTTTGCTACAGTACAGAGGTGGGGGTGGGGTGCGCCCAAGCATCACTTGCAGCACGAAGCCAGGCAACACAGAGCCGTATAGGATTTCTCCTCCGCTCGTGTTAGGAATGGGGTGACGTCATGCGTCCGAGGGCGTCGAACTAGCTTGACGGGGGCGTGTCCTTCTGGCTCTGACGGGCTTGACTGACAGCCCTTTTAATACGCGAAGGGGAAAACTTACTGGAGAGTTTTAAAGACGCATCGATACTGTTAGCGCCGAGTCTCTGTCGCGCGCCAGTCCTGCGTGCGATGCTAATTACCTATTTATATGCCAGGAAAGTACGCGCACAAAGAGGTTTTGCCCATCCGACTCCTGCCATGTGTTTTAGTCCGGGTTACGCGTACTATGTTAATGCAGTTACTGACCACGATCGCGTAGAATCTGCCGCTGCATGTTAAAATTACACGTCTGTATGTAGAAGTAAACACAGGGTGCGAATTTTTAAAATAATCCAGTATAAGGTGTCGCGCGGCGCGGGTCAGTTTAACTTGAGTGCATGCGGCCGTCCGTGTGGGTTACCCCAGCGGCGTGTCTCGACATGCCCTGCACCCTGTCAAGTCCCGTATACTGTACTTTCGGATGTTATCGCTTTAAAAGGCGATTCCTTTCAGGGGGCAGGTCCTTTAACTGGGGTTAGGCTGTCTCACGACCATTCAGGGCTCTATAAGTTTTTTTGCCTGCTGCGGGCTGTCAGTAGGAGGAATGTGGCATGGGATAATTAGATATCGGAGCGCATAGATGGTGGATGGTACCGCGGGTGAAGTAGCGATCGTTTTGCAGGTTGCGATTAGAACTCTTCAAAAAGAGGGAAACGGATTATTTTTCGCCCGATTTATTTTTACGTGCACGACTTACGGAGAAACTCAGAAGCTCTCGCCTGTCGGGTTATTAAAAGGACTTCGGAGCGAAAGGGAAATTGTCAAGATGGCAGCGCAAGACTAGCTAGCAAATGATGTTTATTCCAGGCGATTTTTAATTTCAATTTAATCAATTCCAAGTCGATTAAGAATATTATTCCGAACTATAAATGTAATGCATATACTTTTATAACGTTATTGCACATTTTGCGCTGTCCTGTGGTTCTTAGCATTTATAGCTAGTTGCATTGCATCAGTGCATCGCTGGATCTTGACTGTGCACGGTAGATACAAAGGAGCGGATCCATTCAATTACGGGCAAAGTCGTATTAAGAATTCCTGAAGTGGCCGGTATGTATGCAAACCGCTAATACTGACAGCTAGCGACTAACCAGCGATGTATTTGTATTGTAATTCTCTGCGATATTAATGATAGCTAGTTTACTAGCTCAGAAGGCGTATGGAGTTTACCGAGAATTATGCGATAAGCTGTTTGAAGTGAGGAAAAAACTCCACAACTGCGGATCGTTTGATCTTAATAATCGCTTACGACATATGTATAAACATTAAACTAATCGGACTGGGAGCCTGCTAGACTTTGGGAGCACCTTGAAAATTTAAGCGCATTCATGGGATGCCACTTTGACAGGTAGCTGGCTGTCTGGTGCTCTTTATGTGTTGACTGATCGGCGCGTCTTCGGGGACGAGAGAAAAAGAGAGAACTAAAGATGGCAGAGGCGCCACCCCCTGACCCCCTTTCTTCACTGGACGTGGACATAGACCCCGATTTCGAGCCGCAGAAAAGGCCACGATCATGCACTTGGCCTCTGCCACGACCCGAGTCCAGCACGGGGAAACCCGAATCGACCGACACGGACATTATCCCCGAGGAAGAGGACGACGAGGAGGACACCGCCGGCTCTATGACCATCAACGCCAATGGTTTACTGAACAGCACCAGTATTGCGGGGGAAGACCAGAACAGCCCAAGTACTATAGCAGAAGATATAAACGCAGGCTCTGCTGGTCAGGACAATGCAGGATCTCCGCTCTCCTCGCAGTCCCCTCCCGCTACTGGCAGCGGCGCAGGCAGCGGTGCACCTGGAAACCAGCAGCCGAGGAAGTCCTCCTCACGCCGGAATGCCTGGGGGAACCTCTCCTATGCAGACCTTATAACCAAAGCCATAGAGAGCGCACCCGACAAGAGGCTGACCCTATCCCAGATATACGACTGGATGGTCAGATCTGTGTCGTACTTCAAAGATAAAGGAGACAGCAACAGCTCCGCGGGATGGAAGGTAGGCAGAGGCATATGTCCAAGCAGGGCATGTGGCTGTGGGTCTCGAGCACACTGACAGCTCGGGGAGTTCCTAGCGGAGTGCTTTAAGAGGCAAAGCGTTTCATTAAAGAAAAGTTTCGTTAAAGCTCCGTTAAAGTACTTTCGAAAAATCCCTTTGCAGAAAGATCGGGGTTTTCCATTGTATCGAAACAGGGTTCAGGTAAACACGAGTGGCTGAAATTTTGTTTGCATTTTAATCACGCGATGTATCAAAACTTCAAATAATCACGCGCAGCTGAAACAATCGTATCAGCACGCCCGCTATATTTAGATGTTGTTACGTAATATCCTACCTGAGGTGAAAGCACGGCGTAGCTGGAGAAGAACAAATAGTCTCGCCCTCTCACACATGGCCCAGCTTGTGGGGAGGTCAAAGATGAAAAGTTAAAGATTACAGATCGCAGAATTGGATCGTTTTAACAGCTGATTGACTGACGCTGCTGTAAAGGAGAATGGGTCGGCGTGACAGATAGGGGGCGGGGGGTATGGTGAAACGCTGCATACGCGACAGCGGCATAGCATCAGTTGAAGTGTAGCCCCTACCGATGAACTAGTCTATTTTCATACTATATTTAATTGAACTGAGATTTCTTTCAAGATTGCGGGTTCTGCACTAAGAGCTGGCACAGAAGTAACCACGATAATCTGGAACTCAGGGACACATCATATTTTCTCCAATTATAGTTCTGTTTTGTCTAACCAATGGTCAAAAAATACCATAGTGAAATGTAGGTACGTGATGCACAAAACGTGAACGTAAACTATGAAGTGGGTTGCAGAAGATGTCAGTGCGCGTCACCTGTTCAGCGCATTGCCATCCATGATAACGGCTGCGTTAGTTACAATCCAACAGCCCCCTCGCCTGAAACGCTAATGCGCGGTCAGATAAGCTCACTAAAGTTACGCCGGCTTGTCTAACGAGACGTATTGCTAACCGCGTAAGTGAAAGATGGCCGCTGTGCCGTGGCCCGTGCATATGACAGCGCCGGAAACCTGCCTGGACTTGTTCCAATGAACTTTGTGTCATGTTATTTAACTCTGAACACACAGGCTCAGGTTCCCGCTCCAGTGAAGGGCCCGGGGGGTTGCCAGCGAGGCCGAGGCCTGGCGTGACCAGGTTATGTCGGACTCGGTAGTGTTAAGGTCACCCAGAGTCTCCTCCGGGCTGTAATCACCCCACTCTTATCTACCAAGCCCTTTGTGTCGCGATGGATTTATCTTCTGTGTGTCTGAGCAGCAAAGTCTTTAACGTCAAGACAAACTGAGTCTCAGGCCGCTTTGGTTCAGCTACGTACAAAAGGTACATCAGGAATACCTGCATGTCAGTCCCCACACTAGTAACCAAAAGTCTACTGGATTTAATAAATAGTTTTAAAAGAACCTATCAGCTTCCTAATAACTGAAACTGTGTGGAAGTATTTTCATTGTACTTACAAGGTGAGTTATGACGTTATCCCAGGGAGAACTTTGTATCGGCTAACATTTTAAAATGGACTTTAATCTTTTTAAAAGCCAGATGCATTTTTATCTTGGGTGTAGTGGGGTTCATAGAGGCCTGTATTGTAGTAAAACACTGTTGAGACAAAGCCTGAAAGTCCCTAGAGCTGTCTTGAGTAAGAAGCATGTTTCACTTTTAAATCCTTCTGTGTAAGTAAAGATGGTCACCATGCTGTGTAAACTGATGACTAGGGACAGCTGTTTTTCCAGACCTACAAATGTTCGTCTTGGCAAGCGCAAGTACGAGTGTGGACATTACTGTAAACACGGCTTCAGAGCGACATTGTCTCCGCTCTTAAAGAATGAGGACAAGGCGTGTTTCCCAGGCCGAATTCGTTGAAGCTGCGCTGTGAAATTGAGCGGTTTAGCTTTGTGGCATTCGGAAACCATCACGCATGTGGCCTTAGTAAGACCTTGGGGGGGCGGGATCTCCCTCAGATTGTAGTGGGGAGACAGATTATGTCGCAAATTCAGTACAATACACAGAGAAGTGAACCATGATACTTACTGATGAGCATGGTTGTTTGTTCGTCATGGGGTTTACTTTTCCGGAAGCTTCTAAGTGTTTGAAACCTCAGCCTGGCGGCATAGGTAACGGTGGTGTAGGCCACCCAATGTACCTGCCTCTACTCGCCAATTAATACTTAAATATTAAATCAAATTTAAACAACGGTACGATAGTAGGATTGGGTTGAATGCTGATTGCGCTTATATAGCCTAACAGGTGTGTGTGTGTGTGTGCGTGTTGAGGTGTGTACTAGACAAGGCCATTGTCTAAGTGTTTGCAGACCTGTATCAAACAAGCACTTACTAGCATTACCTGTGAGGACAGGGATTTTTCAGCAAAAGGACAGCTCCTCACATCCCAGGAGAGAGGCTTACTGTTGTACCCTTGAGCAAGGAGTTTAACGTAACGCACAAATGGACCGTGTTACTCTGTGTAACCATGAAATTATGTGCAGCCACAAACCAGTGTAATGGAATTTTCACTGGAGATCAGCATGAACGTTGTGAAATGAAAACGAGACTTCTAATTTGAGTCAGCGTCCCTCACGAAAGCGACCTGTTTCCTTAGAATGAAATTGGTGGGGGTTGGCACCAAATTCTAGGCCCCCTCCTGGGAGGGGGCGTGCCAGGCCCAGTTCCTGCAAAAGCGATTGCTTGGGCTCGCCCGTTCTCTGGCTGTGCCAAGGCGTATCCCTAACGGACTTGGCGCTGACGTTTGACGCACGGGCATGTGACTCCACAGAGAGGGTGCCTTTTCCCATATTCAGGCTTATCGGCTTGGATTCCCAAAGCCTCAACTCTCCCATCATTGCCTCCAACGCGTCCACATGGTGTGTTTATGGGGGAGGGGGATATCCAGTGGCTGCCCAGATAAATCAAGCTGTCGTTGACAAATCGAGTGGAATTTGTCAAAACGGCAGAGCCGTCCAAGGCTTCCACTGAAGGTTCACAGCATGGCACCACCTGCATGACACCACGAGGATCACCTGCTGCATCAGTGTTATCAATGATCATTATGTACCGTAAGCCTCTGCAGAAACACTACATCTTGTAAATGTGATTAGCGATGGTCTGTCCTTGGTTTCTCAGTAGCAGATATTTGGGCTTTCCCTTTACTGGTCACTGCAAATCAAAACTGTCTCAAACTGGCTGTTTATAAATTAAAATTCCTGTTTATCGCAGTGTGTTCCGCCATCCGTTAATTATTCATCGCTTTCAGCATTTATTCTGCATGCTGTATAAATATTTAAGAGGCCACTTATGGCTGAAGCGTGTTCCTGAGAGCACTGCAGGGCCAGACAAGTCCGGCTAAGGCAACGAAAGCATCCAAAAACACTCTGGTTTGCTTCTTCAGTTCTACCGAAACATTCTGTTTTTGCTTTTTTCCCCTTGAAATTCATGTCACGTCACTCAGTGGGCAGCATATTTATCTCACACCTCTAGGGTTGTGGTTCAAATCCCACCTCCTCTCTGGGTTTCCTCCCACAGCTCAGAAGCATGCAGTTAGGGGAACCACTGACTCTGAGTTGCTTGTGGTGTGTACATACTTGTGCCCTGCAGTAGACTGGCAGACCATCCACGGTGTAACCTTTCCCTGTGCCCCATGCTTCCTGTCCCCCCGCAAACCTGTCTTTGATAACCATTTGGGAGATGGATGATATGAATTATTATCAGTATATTCACATTTACTTATTTACTTTTGTCCAAAGTGACATATAAACAACGTAGATAGAATATCACAAGTATAGAGCTGTCAAGAGGCCAGCTACGCATAAGTGCAACTAGGCTGGACTTCCAATGAATGATCATTAGCAAGTGCAAGGTAGCACTGGAGCAAGAGCTTTACAATATGCTAAAAACATAGCGAGAACTTAATAAGAGAGCTATTCAAGTCAACGACAAAGTGCATGTAGTATTAACAGTTGTATTTCTAGTAGGGGTGGGCGATATGGCAAAAATATCATCACGATTTTTTTACAGTTAAATCATGATTTCGATTTTATCACAATATTTATACTGATTTGAATGATATAGATTTTACTATTTTGCAAATTACTGAACAGTACAACCAAACTATTTTCCTTTGTAAAAATATAGTCCTAAAGAACAAAAACAGGATTTTAGCCAAAGAACATTTCTGAACAGATTTTAATCAGTTTGTGCAATTTTGCCAACAAGTTTATTTAAAACTAAATAAATACTTAAAGTTACTTCAGAACAAAATATCAACAAGAACAAAAACTTACAAATGGTAAACAATAAAAATGGCAACTCTTATTATGGGCTAATGCAATTCTTAAACTATTACTGAATTATTCAACATTGTCATTTTAACATGACATGACAATACCTCTGAACCTCGCGTTCCGTTTTTTCGCGGCATTCGGAGTACAGACGTGGAATGGCAGTGCTGGAGAAATATTTTCGGCTGGGCAGCTCATATCGCGGATCAATTACTTTCGGTAGACTTTTAAACCCCTTTTCTACAGTTTTGATGGGAACCATATCTTTTCCGAGGTAAAAGGTAACTGCTTCTGTTATGTCTTTCCATCGCTTGCTTGTCCTGTCATACGGAGCGCCTTTCTCAAAAGCTTGTGTCAGAGTGGTGTGTTTTGGTTTGGTAACTGTTGCCTCTGCTGCCTGTGCTGTGACTGCTCTCCTAGCCTCTATACTCTCGGCATACTGTTTTGGATGTTGTCTCTAAGTGATTGAAAAGGTTTGTCGTGTTGCCGTCCAACGTGCGAACCTTTCTCTGCAGACTTCGCAAATAACAACTGTTTGTTCCTTATCGTTTGGGTAAAAGCCAAACCACTTCAATGTCACCTATGTAGAGTTTTTTTAGGGACCAACTCATCCATTACATTCTCACTTTCAGCCATTGCTTCCCGCTACACTCAGAATCAAAGGGAGTGGTGGAGCACTTTGGTTGGCTGAGCGCTGTTTCTATAAGGCGGGCATTAAGCGGACTAGCAAATAGTGTGCTTTGGCTGAGGAAAAAAATTAGGAAGAGCATAGGGCTGCAACAGACAGATGGAATGCAATCTATATAGACGATTCTACGATCTCTCTACTTTGGCAGATCGTCAACACATAGATCGTCTTCACAATCTCATATCGTCATATCGCCCACGCCTAATTTCTAGTAGTTGTGTTAAGAGGTGGAAAATTCAGGTTCAGAAATTAAAAATTCGCACCAAGATTTTATTTCAACAAAGCAGTTGAGTACTCTGTGATTCTGTTTCCCGAAGCCTTCTTAGTCTGGATTTGAACTTTCTTCACTTGAACTATCCACCTCTGGTCATGTTTTCATTGATGTCAAGTAGAAATTAACGTATCACTCATAACAGAGTGTGAAATGCCGGGTGCGAAAAGCAGTATAATGTGTCATACTGCATGATAGTCCGGGGGAAGAACATGGACCTGTTTGGATGCAGTTAGCTCCCTGATGCATGTTTTCATCCTGAGAGCGATGACCAACCACGTGGATAATGTCTGGCATGCTGCCTGTGGACAGACCTGTGGCCGCTGGAGTGACAGATCCGGGAAGCATCGCTGATCACTTAAGGTGACTGAAGAAAAGCCATTTCAAGCACAGGCCTTGTCCCAGACCACAGCATGCGAGTCAGAATGCTGCATGGCCCGTGTGCCGCCTTGCAACCGCCACCGCGTCACATGACTGCCAGCCAGAATATCAGCTCCTCCCCCCCCCCCAAAATGAGGGCAGCACGTGTAGCTGATGAACAGCGAAGGCAAGCAGGGTATGGGAGGTGTCTGATAAAGGATGACCTTGCAAACCTCACACCTCCCTGGCTGCCAAGGCCAGGACTGGCTGAAAATGCACTCAGATAAGTGAGTGATCGAGGCTCCTCAATAAACTTGCGCTGACTCTGGGGCACGCAGATGCGTATATCTTCATGCTGTGTGCAGCCTGCTCAGGGAGCGGAGGGGGGATTTGAAGTAGTCTCAGGCAGAGGCTTGGTCTGGGTGTGTAGACCAGATGCAGCCTCGTGAGCCAATGGAGATTTTTTTTGAAGGTGTCTCACCATTTTGACCTGGGTTTTAAACTTTAATTTGTTTTCCCCCAAGCCCGTCTCTTCCAATTACACCACTCTGCCCAGCACCACACACTGATAAGGGGTGCTAAATTGTTCTTGATTAAAATTTAATTGACTACAATAAAGCTAGCTGTCTGTGTCAGGCAGCTGGGCTGAGACAAACGTACAATTAAAGATGGCAGGCCTTCACAGCAAGGTGATGTCAGGGAAGAAAACAGCCCCTCTGAAAATATCTTTCTTCCTTCAGACATTGAACTTGCGTACTTTAAAAGGTAAAGACTTTAAAGATTTAGGATCTAGTAGCTTAGTACTAACAGTATAAGAATAGTTTTTTTGTAGTAATGATGGTGGATTTGCTTTGCTTTGAACAAAGGCTTTTTAGAAGTACTTGTCTGATTTACACACACCCACATCATGTGACTCTCAGAAGAAGAAAGTCACCCAGTAATTCATATTTTTAGCATGATTGGTTTGGCTTCCTACCTGGGAGAACTGGGATGGCAAGTGTTGAATATTTCCTTGGTTAGTCACTGTCTGTCTGACAGGGCGTGCGATCACACAACCCCACCCCCAAAGCAATTAATATGGTTGTATTAATTGATAATCCCGGCAGGCTTAATATTACTGTGAGTCAGCAGGACGTCGGATTAACCCTGGGACACAGGCAGGGGGCATTCACAGACGGGACGTGGATGGGCACGAACGGCAGGATGATAAATACTTACCTCAGTGTGATGTTTGCGGCTAATCTGGCCGCAGCCTTGTCGCATAGGTTCATACGCACGCGGCCAGCGATGGATGCTGCGTCTTTCCAAAGAGCTGCCCAATGATTCCCGTTTCCCTGTGTGTCGCACACCAGAGCTGCTCCGGTGAAGGGAGTGTCACTTTAAGAAAAGAATGAAAAATTGAACCGGTTTTTCATTTGAGTAGTTAGCATACATCATTCCTCTGGGTCAGGGGCTTGGCCTCCCCATGCTGTCGCCATCATGTGCACAGACGTGCTGGCAGTCTGTGGTTATGAGACCATGAAATTAGTCATAACCCCCCCCCCCAGCATTAAGCAGCAACACTTTTTTTGGGTCTCCCTTGTGGAGAGGCAGGCTTGGTTTCCTATTTCACTCATATGTATTGTACCATATCTGCGTGTCTGATCTTTGGCTTGTGTCTTTGTGTGCCTGTGTGTTTACATGTTCTCCTAACATTATCCTGACGTTTTTGTTGGTTTTTTTTTTTTTTTAAAAAAACATTGTGGGGACATCCCCACACAATAAAATAGCTGTTTTTCAGTAATAAAGAGATAAAGGTACAAAAAAAAATAGAAACAAATGATAAAATTACTACTGGCAAAACTACTGTTCTGTTATCAACTTACAAAATCTTTTACCATTTTGCTGGGGTGGAGTTGGGAATTATAAATTCTATTTATGTTACAGATAATTCTAAGTTCCCATAATGATGTGTAAACAAACACGTGTGTGTTCAGGATGTGGCTGCTATGGAAGTGAGTGTTGAGGCCCCTCACTTGGAGACTTGTAAAGCATTTCTTTTCTGAGCAAGATGTTTTTTGGGCGGCTGTAGCTGTAACAGTAGCTGCTTCGGTGAAAATGGCCAGTCATACAAACGACGGGCAGCATGGTGCACTCAGACAGCGTCGCCGCTGCCTCAGAGTAAAGCCCAGTGACGGACCTGAACCGGTGAGGATCCCACCAGTGATGAAGAGGGGGGAGGAGGGGAAAGGTGAGGTCTGGGAGCGTCTACGGTCACCTCCATCTTCTGCTTTGTCTTTTGTTTGAGGGCTCTGAGGACATACATCTCTGAGAAGGGAGACACTGGTGTGGGAGGTGCCATTTGTGTGAATGGAGGGGTGTTGAGAGGCAACCTTGTATCCTCGTGTTCCTGTAAACACGAGACGCTGCTGCCAGGGTGAGCTTCACAAATGAAATAAAAGAGACAGAATAGTAGGCCATCATTGTCCCGAAATACAGCGCTTGTCTACAGAACAAAAACAAAATCGTAGGCTTGTGTACCCCCAGGGAGTGCGTGCCTGGTACAGTCCACAATGTTACAGCCCATGGTGCAAATCACTCCTGAAGCTCTCCATGCTGCGCTTTCCTTTGGGCAGCATTACTGGTCCTCGTAATTGCATTTCAGTGGCTGGCACATTTCAGTGCCCCCTCTCTGTTTCAGTGAGCCGTGGTCTGCTTAAGGCTGTGTGTGTGTATAGTGTAACGGTTTCTCTATATCAACCATTCCATCGGGCACTGAACTCCAGCTGGCTCGGCGTGCTTGAGGTCTTGGTTCAAAGGACACAGGTGTGAGCCAGGTTCGTTACAGCCAGGTTCGTTACAGCCAGGTTCGTTACAGCGGCACTCAATGGATGCCCTTATATTAGCTCGTCTCACAGTAATTAAAGGGCGTCTCTGTGCTGTTACTGAAACTTGTGAACAGACCGACCTTGCAGCTCACACATCCATCAGACGTTATCCATTGTTTCTGACAGAGAAATATATGCATACATTAACCTCTTTTGGGCTTATAATACTTCGGCTCAGGCCATCAGTAGACCATGCATAATTCATACACTCCTCCCCCTCCCCAGCTCCAAGGCCCCGAGGTTTAGCTGTCTACTGATGTGCCCAAAGACACTACAGTAACAGCACTGTTCCCAGTGGGACCAGTATGGTGGGTTATTATCCTGCGCTGATGTCCCTGAAGCATATGAGAGGCTTTTGGTGCAGGTCACCGACTCAAGCAAACTGTCCTTTTTGTAATAAAGCACTGCTGACCGACCAATGCAGGTTAAATGCCTTGGAGTGGCACGTCCTCTGGCAGAGAACTCCATCTGAATTGAATATGTTTGGCTGTATTAAATGAGGGAAGTATAAAACTGAAAGCTATGTAGGATAAAAACATCATTATTATTATTATTATTATTATTATTATCATTATTATTCATTTTTAATAGAGAGACATCTAATGAACACACCACCACTTTGGACCTGTCCAATCCCAAGAATCTGGTGTTTAGCCAATATCTGGCACTCTGTAAATAATTAACAGTCAATGCTGACAGAACGCAGGCTAAATGAGTCCAATTAGGGAGTTAATTAGAGGAGTCAAGTGGGCTCAGGTGATTGGTTATGGCGAGTAAAGCCATACATGGAGATGTGGACACACAGACACACACACACTCCATGAAAATGTTTCATCTAGTTATCCAGTACAAGGAGTCCGCAGCCTGTCCTACCAGCATAAGGTACAGGGCCGGGGAACCACTGGAAAGGATGCCAATCTGCCAGAGGGCACATACACACATACATAATCACGATCGCACAATGGCAGTTTAGCGATGCCAGTTAGCTTCACTGCATGCCTTCGGACTGTGCAGTAAACTGACTGGAATCTGCGCTTGACGCAAACTACCAGCTCTGGAAGTGTGAGACAGCAGTGCTACAGACTGGCGCTACTGGTGCACCACAACTGGTGCACCACAACTGGTGCACCACAACGTAAAATAATAACAAATCAGCAAAAGGCAAATTATTCTACTTGTTGCTTTGGATTTATCAATCCAGACACTGAGAAATTGCTTTGGATATGTGATCAGCATGCAGAGCCATGACGGAAAAAAACAATGCGATCCTATCGCCGGGGACCAAGTGTAATGTAGCCTGAGTTCTGTTTGGCTTTTACTTCACAGCAGCTCCGATGCCGGTGGGAAGGTAAAACACACACATACACAACAATGAACTTTTTCATTACTGACCAAGATGGACAGATTGGGATTTTGGAAAAATGCCATCATGGGGGTTGCGGTTGCTCGACTCCTTGCCTCGCAGTGTAATGGACGTGTGATTTAAACAGCTTCTTTGAAAGGAGCTTAGCCTTCTTTGAAGTTCACTGTTCACTTGTACTCAATGAGACCAACAAATTAATCTCTCTCTTCTCATGGAAGCTTCGCTACTAGTAAGAGTGAAATGTTCTGTACCGTTGGCATAAAGTGATTCTTAGCTGTAGAGAATTATTTTTGTCTTCCTCTTAAAAAAAGTGCTAAGAAACAGAAAAAGCAAGGAGTGAAACTGGCAACCAGAGCTGCTGAAAGTCAGCAGTATTTTGTGATTTATTTCCAGCTGTTTAGCGCAAAGGGGACCGTCCGTTTAGATTAGCCCCAGTCCCAGCCTGAGCCACGGAGCCTGAGCCACCAGCCTGCGCCTTTCTGTTCGGCCACGCGATGCCTGGCTACTAGCAAAAACTGTATGGAAACTGTGAGCTTTGGGTCCGGTGGCGGCCACTGCCATTGGCTGGCTCTCAATCCACCCCTGCGTCCGATTGGCCAATGGTGTGAGCAGGAGAATCAATCAGCTGACTGGGAGCGTATGTAGGTCAGTGTGTAGCAATGTGAAAGCTGCTTGCTGTTCTTACCCCGTGAGCTGGCGGTGTGTAAATTGGCTCTGTTCCAGACCCTGTTAACCGCTTAGAGAAAAGCCACAGCAGGGCTCGAAGTTTGAGGGGGGAAGGGCAGGCAGAGGATTTAAATATTTTTTTTGCCCTGTGACTGATTCCTAGTTGTTATCCACAGCACGCTCTCCTCCCGGCAGATAAGCTGGAGAACTGCTAATGGAAACAGTCTTTAAATGTTGGGTCTTCGTCCTGTTTTTCTGCTCAGTAGGTGAGTTTATTAGGCACACCTGCTTCCTTCAAACAGCCAATCACGTGGATGCAGCTGAATACATACAGCACACAGACTTACAGTGAGGCTAAGTGGTTTTAGGCCAAGTTTGATTGTTGGTGCCAGATTTGGTGGCTCCAGAATCTCAGAAAGTCACCCCCCTTTTACATGAAATGCCAGCCTCAAGGGTCCAACAGCAGCACCTCTCCTAGGATTCCAACTGCCAGCTGCTATGCCACCTTGAGCCATAACCTGTGGACACTCACACAGATAGATACAGTTGGCTCTGTTTTCCCTTTCTGTCCCATAGTGGCTTTTAGAGCGTAAGGGCTGCATGCGGGGGTCTATCACTAGAGCAGGAATCCTCTTAAAAGCAGACTGTCTGCCCCCAACAGGTCTAGGATGGTCATGTGACACCCCGAGGACTAGCACTCTTCTAAGAACAGCTCTGGAAAAGGATGTCTGGACATTGGGGGTAGGGAAGAGGCGCAGTACCCAGCACACACAACAGGTTTTTCCAGTTCTCAGTCTGCCGCTGGCCAGATTCTCCTGTTTCTGCGTAACAGCAGCTCACAGTCTCATGTGCAGGTGTTATCTGACCCGGCTCGTGCACACGCACACTGACATAGAGAACAGGTGAGGGTGCTGCATGCTTTTTTTGTTTTTTTTTTGCAGCCCTGGAGTCATTCTGAGGTTTCTGTGTGCTTCTTGGTTCCTGGAACAAACCCTCACCCTTTTCAGAAGGGGGGGGGGCGGCGTACAGGGCCATCTGCGTACCCTAAAAGAA